CTCCCCTGGGATTTCCCATTTTTTTTATGTTTCACTAGAGGCCTAGTGCATGAAACTCATGCATTCGGGGGCAGGGGTGGGGAGGGTCCCTCGGACAGGCCTGCGCGCTCTGGCAGTTTGGGAGCCCTTGGGGGATTTCTGACTATGGAAGTGGGCCTAAGGCATCAGTAGGACATTGTTAGCACTGCCATGGAGGCAGGAGAGGCTCCTGCCATCGCTGCACCTGCCAGTTGTGAGCTCAGCTTTTGGCTGACTACCAGGGGGCAGCTCCTGTATTGAGTGTCTGCCCTCTTGTAGTCAGTGTGTGTCATAGCAACTGGTCATTTCATTGTTCTGTCAATTTGCATATTAGCCTTTTATTATATAGGATTTGGTCATCTCATTTTATTTACATACTAGAGGCCTGGTGCACGAAATTCGTGCATGGGTGGGGTCCCTAGGCCAGGTGTGGAAGGAATGGACACTGGATGCCGACGCCACCATCATCGGTGCCCCACCATCCTCGGTGCCCGCCACTGCATGGTTCCCCCCCTCCCTCCCTCCTCCTTCCTTCACTGCTGCAACGCCACCACGGCAGGTGGGCAGTGGGCCAATCAGAGCCTGCTTGCTGGGGGGAGGGACAGGGCATAGGAAGTTGGCTGCCAGCCCCAAGGAGGGAGCTGGCCCTAGGCCCCCCTGGGAAAGGGGCTGCACCTGTCGCCACCCACCCCTGGTTCCCTGTCCCAGCCCAGGGCCCAGCCCCGATCAGGTGATTGGGCCCTGCCAGCCAGAAGGAAGGACTGTGGGAGGTCGGCCAGCCTGGGGAAGTGGCTGTGGGAGCACACTGACCACCAGGGGGCAGGTCCTGCATTGAGAGTCTGGCCCCTGGTGGTCAGTACGCGTCATAGCGACCAGTCATTCTGGTCATTCTGGACGTTCAGATCGTTTAGGCTTTCATATTGTATAGATTCTTTCTTCAGATTTATTAATATGATCCTTAGCCTAAACTTTCCTGATGATAAGAATCACCTGGAATGATTGGAAAAATAGATTTCTAAATAAGAATTTCTAAGGGAAGGGCCTGGTATTCTGTATATTTAGCAAATGGCCAAGGGTTTGTTTTTTGTGCTTTTTTTTTTCTTTAACCAGGAAGGTTTTGGAATGGACAAGTTGGTCTGGTGCACCTCAACATGTAACATTCCTACAAACCACCTGCAGATCCTGATTCCACTGGTCTAAACAGGGCCCGCGAGTCTCCATTCCTGGCAGCTCCCGGGGACCATATTTTGAGTGGCATGACTCAGGGATTCTCAAGGAGTGCTCCAGGGCCCGCAGTATGGGCAGCAGCTGGGAAACCTCTTACAAAGGCACACTCTCGGCCCCACTCTCCACCCACTGAGCCAGGAAAAACTCTGGGGATGGGCCCAGCCATCTGTTTGTAGGTCTCCAGGTGAGATTTTGATTCACACAAAAATTCAGGAACCACAGAGTTAGACTTAGTGCTTCTTAGTGCTTCTAAGTGGGAAGTTATTTCCCTTGAGATGAACTTTTGTACATTTCTAATTTCATTCATGTGTACACTTAGATCATCTAACTCGATTTGGGGAGGTTCCTTACATGCACCTTTGTGAAGAGCTCAGGAACTATTGGCAAGAAAGGCACCTGGTGGTATTTGGGGGAACTTGTTCCTTGCTGTCTTTAAATTTAATTTTTCAAAATCACTGAAGAGACCATTTTGTTCTAACACAAGATACTAGGTTAGAGCGGGTTCCTGAATGCCTAAAGGGACCAAACACTCAGATAACACCCGTCAGTGAGGGAACCTTGGCTCAGGGAGGAGGCGTGGCCTCAGCAAGCAGCTGCTCCTCAGCTCCACCCAGTCAGCGCCTTGGGGGAATGTGGGCCAGAGTGGTCACATCTCCCACATGCTCAGGGGAAGTCAGAAAGCCAATGTTTTGCGTGAAATCTTTTGACTCTTAAATGGTGGCAGACTATTCAAACTTGTAAATATTCTGTGGCTAACAAGCTAGCCTTCTGTTAGCGACTCTGCCTTCGAGGCACCAGTCCGGGAGGTGACTGCTGTCTCATAAAGAAGAGAAAGCCAAGCAGCGGCTCTCGCGGTTCATTTATGTGAAACAAACCCCAAACCATACACCGTGCTGCTGTGAAAAGCCAGTCCATTCTCTCCAAGCAGCTCCCCGAGCAGCCAAGGGTTAGAGCTCATGGAAATACGGGAACATTTTAAACTGGGACACGGACAGTTTCACATTGTGTAATCCATCTGGAAGCAAAGAATGCCTCATCGTCATGACAGTGGGCCCAGGGGCAGGTCTAGATTTTGGGGGCCCTGAAGCTAATACAATTTGGGGGAACCCTATTTAAGAAAAAGAATGTGACACGATGAATTAGTTATGAAGGTACAGAGAGGTCTTAACTGAATGTGGGAAAATGTTTAAGGTAGGTCTAATCAAGTAATTGAACCGATATCTCCTCCCCTAGCAACTGGCCTTTAGGCCACTTCACAGCCGACATTCCCTTTCGCTTAGACCACATTTCACCATTATCCTTCCCCTTCGGACCTTCCCGGATCCGGACCGCCCAGGGAGTTCCCCACCGAAAAAGCCCGCCAGGAGCCCTTCAAAACCTTCGACTCCTCATCCGTGGGTGCTGGCGCCATTTGGGGCCTCAGCCCATTTGGTCTCCAGATGACCTAACGAGTTTATAAACCTTTACTACGTTTGGCCTCGTGCTTTCCTCCTTCGGCCACCCTAACAGTTTACTTTCGCAAACTTTACAAAAAGTGAATGTGCTGGGAAAGGCCCACAAAAGCAAGGGCCCTGGAGCTTCCCGAGCTGCGGGCACACTGCCCTCTGTCCTGGTGACCGCTGGGGCACAGGCAGAGGTTAGGGTCGGGCCAGAGGGTTACTGCTCTGGGGCACTGGTGATGTTCTACTTCTTGACCTGGGTGGGAAGGTTGGTTACAAGGGGATTCATTTTACAACTTTTTTGTTGTTGTTAATCCTCACCCGAGGATATTTTTCCCATTAATTTTTAGAGAGAGTGGAGGGGAGGAGAGAGAGAGAGAGAGAGAGAAAGAGAGAGAGAGAGAGAGACCAGGCCTAGGGATTGAGCCTGCAATGGAGGTATATGCCCTTGACCAAAATCGAACCTACAGCCCTGCCGTTCGTGGGTGGATGCTCTAACCACTGAGCAACCGGCTAGGGCCATTTTACAACAATTTGATTAACTGTACACATGTTGTTTGCACCTTTAAGTACACAGTTGTATTTTATAACTTAGAAAATCATTTGGTCCTTTTCTAAGTCAGCAAAAATACTCATTTCATGGGGGTGAAGTAGGTCTTCAATAAATGTTTGTTTAATAAATGAACAAATGAATGAGTGATTTCAAGTCTATTCAACCAATATATATCAAAGGCCTAAATGTGTAAGATTCCTGCTAGGTATTGTGTTATTAAATACATTATATTATTTGCTATTTAATATTTAAGTAAAATTTAATGAAAGAAATAAAATACCTATATTTTATTTTATTTTGCCATATTTTAAAAGTTAATCTTGGCCCTGGCTAGGTGGCTCAGTTGGTTGGAGCATCATTCCGTTTATCAAAAGGTTGCAGGTTCAATTCCTGGTCAGGGTGCATACAGGAGGCAACTAATTGATGTTTCTTTTTCACATCAATGTTTCTCTCTCTCCCGCCCCCTTTTCTCTCTAAAATCAATAAACAAATCCTTGTGTGAGAATTTTTTAAAAAGTTAATTGTATTCTTTTACTATTGTTTTACATATAAATGAAAAATATAAATACACATATACTGGATACAGGCTTTAAAAAGAAAAGAAATTAGCTTTAAAGATGTTTAATTTGCAATCATACAATTTTAAAAAATGTTAGGTAGCGGGAACAGAAAAACAGAATAAATTGGTTGGTATCTACTAAAGACCAGACATGCATAATTTAAAAATCATGCATAATTTCC